GAATAAGCCAAATGTTGGGCAAAACTAGGAACCCATTTAAGTAATTCAATCATAAAGATAAAAAAAAAAGTCCAATTCTAGATTAGATTTGGGGGAAACTAGAGAACGGGTTTCGTGTAGGTACCATTAGAGGTGCTCAAAAACCCAATCAACCCAACCCAACCCAAGGCGAGATAACTCAACGCGAAGCAACCCCATGTCTAATTGAGTTGTAAGAATTTCAAACCGTAGGTATTGGGTTGATTTTGGGTTATTATTGTTTGAACCCAACCTAACTCGATGAACCCGATATCCTTTTATTTCTTGGATTTAATATGGTTATAGAATTTCTATTAATATATACATTGAAAAATTACACTAGCACGTACATTCTTCATATACACATATTTTCAATCTATTCACATCTCTATATAACTCATTCGTATATATGTTTAGTAACTGTAAACATATATATGTAAATTGAGAAAATTGACTTAATGTGATATATGTAAGAAGTATGAATAAGTTATATCAAATGGTTGATGATGAAAAAGAGATTATGAGTAGAGAAATAACATATTTAAGGTTGGAAAAATATTTTAATGTACCAAAGTATCAACCCGACCAACTCGTACGATTTGGGTTGGGCTGGGTTGGTTTAAGATTTTTCAAACCGCAAGCATGGGGTTGAGTTGTTCAAATGTCTTCAATCTGTTCAACCCAACCCATGAGCACCCCTAGGTACCATCTCTTCAAATCTTTTCAAACCTGTTCATGCTAACCCACGACATTGTTGGCCGACCCAAACTATTTTTTAGGGAACAAAAGTATCTAAACCTTGTTGGGGAATTGGAGATATGCTTCACCGAAGGAGGGGTTTGATCTAGCTAGAGAAGAAAGGGTTTGGTTAAAATGAGGGGACACATGGCATCATTTAAGTCATAGTTTAAAAAGTATGTTTAATTAATAGGTAAAATAACTAATTTGCCCTTTAGTTAATAGGGTGGATTTGTTAGCGATACGAACCTAAGTCGGGACGAATGCAAACCATAAGGACGTTGAATGTACTTATTTTAAAGTAGGGACCATATTAAAATTTTGAACAAACTATAGGGACCTATGATGTAGTTTACTATAAACTACCACAACTAAAAGGTTAGTGGAATCTTTTTTTTTTATGTAGTTCAATAAGTGAATGCATTATTGTACGGAAGTGGTTTGTTGACTCTATAAATGGGTTACAATGTAGAAAAGCGTTCTCTAGTTGCCACGTATATCCATATACAACAAAGTCGTTTATCATAATTGTTGTCAAAACATTTTTTTTTATTTGTAGATGTTTGGATAATTTTTAGCACATCACCATTAATTTTATAAGTTTATAAGAGTTAACAGTCAAATTAATTCTTTATTAGCTCTAAAATAATTTAAACCGATAATTTCTAAGAATTGATAAAATAAAAGCATAACTAAAAATATAAAACCCTCTCTTTAGAACCGGTTTATAAAAAAGAATCCTTATTGAATACAGATAAATTATGTTTCCCAAAGATTTGTCATTCAAATCAAGAATATTATAATATCTTGAGTGACTTATGGATTTGGTTCTTGTGTTTTGATGTTCATTATTATATGAGTTCCTATATTATGTTTATTATGTATTTGGTTCTTGTGGTATTTCATTTGTTACGTCCTGATCTCTTCTGGACTAATACCAGTAAAAAAAACTCAGTTAAGTCATGGTGCATTTTGGTTTTTGCACACATTTTTTTACTCTTTTTCTTAAAAAAATAGTATATGTATTTTATAAAGTTATATATACACACCCTTGTATACATACATAAGAAAGCCAAATAGAGATTGAGAGTTAGGACCTTCGATCTCAACCACTTCCCTCCCCGTCACGTCCAAAATGCCTTTGTCTTTCTGTTTCTAGCAGCGACCACCATCTCCTTATCCCCACTATGGCGTCCTTTCCCACTGCAACACACACAAACAACACATTGCAGAGAGAGAAACGACAAGAGAGAGAGAGAGATAGAGATTGGAGATAGAGAGGGGAGGGGTGGGGTGATCTCTAGTGGCTGTAGAAGAAGATGCGACATGGAAGGTCTAAATTCTGTGAAAAACGTCACAATAATTATTCTCTAAACGACTTTCATGAGACCCATTTGTTTGTTTATTCAATATCAACAACCTCATCAAATAAGAAGGGACTAGTTGTTGGAAAATCCATTAAGAAAGACGTAATATGTGTGTCATAATTTCACGTTTAGAGGAGGCCGAATATGTATATATATAAAATCAGTTTTGTATTTTTAATTGTCAAAAGATAAGAAATATATAAAACCACCAAAATGCCCCATGACTTATGTGAGTTAACGAATTACTTTTAACGGTGTTAGTTAGAGAGACCATGAACCAAATCCATAATAAACATAATATAGAGACTTTAGTTAAATAGTTAAATTACATTTTTATTAATCGATTATTTATAAATAATTTATAGAAAAATTATAAATAGTTAAATTACATTTTTGTTAATCGATTATTAGAAAATAAATGTTTTAAACATTTTAAAAAAGCTTATTTCATACGATCCAATAAAATCCCGTGAAATCTCGAACACCCCTTAAGGATTCCAAAATCTAATGTTTGTAGGATTTTAAATTCGAACAATCCAACAAACCAAATATAAAATCGAAATTGATTTAAAATTCAAATCCCCAAATTCATTCTATTCTTGCAAATCAAATAAGACCTTAATCATTACAACAAAATCGGGTTTATAGGATACTCTCAAATTCTAAGTGTCCTAATAGATCTCTTTATAGGACTTAGTTTATAGGATAAAAAAACAAATTGTCATATCTAAAGGTATTGTAATAAGTTTATATGACGTTTTGTGACGTCATAATAAGTTTTTTAGGAGACTTTTAATATAAAGTGTCTCATTCTCAACTTTATAGGACACTATTTGAAAAATTGTTCTATAAAAACAAGTGTCCTATATATAAGACACTTTCTCAAAAGCGTCATAAAGTTGTTAATGCGACACTTTATATTAAAAATGTTCTAAAAAATTTGTTAAGACGCCCAAAAGCGTCATAAAAACTTATTACAACACTTTTAGATATGACACTTTATATTTTGGTCCTATAAATTAAGTCTTATAAAGAGGTCTATTGAAACATTTAGAGATTAGAGGTGTCCTATAAACTCAATTTTATTATTGTGAATGTTAATTAATGATTTTATTTTGGTTCAAGATTTAAAACTAAAAGCCCCACTAATTATTTCTTAAATGGTAAAATAGGAAATGGGCATTTGACACAGTACCCCCTCAATAATTATCACCACCAAACTCAAAATATTCTAAACAGTGCTTGTTGTTATGTATGCTACCCTTTAAAAAACCATCATTACTACTTTCTTTTTAAAGAATGCTTCTTTGCATCACCAAATGACTTTTTTATTTATTAATATTACTATTTTTATAATATCACAAAAACCATATCCAAAAGATGAGGAGTTGCTTATTTTTTTTTTTCCTCTCAATCTATCTTCGAGTTAATTTTCTATTTGGATAATTTTTTCTATTTAAGTTATGATAGATCGAAGAATTTAAGTGAAGAAAAGGAGAGGGTTGTATCATGTTACGGGAGTTGTTTGGCATTTGCTAAATGATTTGATGCAGAATGATTAAGAAGTTTTTATGATATAGTGCAAAACGGACTATAATTGTTTGCTATTTATTTACAACGAAATTATGTTATTTAGTTGGTGATGTTTGACAATTGCTGAATGATTTGATACAAAATGATTAAATGGTAAGAATGATTAAGAGACTTTTATGATATAATGCAAAATAAAATATAATTGTTTGGTAATTGTTTAAAATGAAGTTAGGGTGCTGAGTGGTTAAGGGAGGCCCAAGATACAAAATTATTCAGAGGGTTTTAGAACCATTAACATGCACAATTTTTTTTTTCCAAATAAGATTTACCTCTTAGCGATTCAGAGGTTGCTTCTTAATGAAACTATTAAGAGGTAAACAAATAACCCCTCATCTTTGGTATTAATTTGTTTGAGATGACTTACTAGAGATAAGTGAGGTGTCCTTGCTTATTCTATATACTCATCTTAGTTTAAATGCTTAACGATTAAGCAGTAAAAAAACGCTCATGTATAGTTGAATGAATAAGTCGTCCAGAACATTAAGCTCAATAAGTTGTAAATGAACGACCAGTAAGATATGTGTTGACTGATAATGTTGAGAGTATCAGGGTCGAGGTTATGATGGTGTGAGATATGGAACATGACCCTTCAAAAAGTTTGGGTCCCAATTATACATGTTTTAGTATTTACTTATATTTGGAGAGGCTTATAAGCCTAGCTCCATAAGCCTTATCATTGAACTAAGCCACACGGATTAAGCTTGGTGTTTGGCATATATACATTAATGGTCAAAGATAGTCTCTGCGGGTCTCTTAACCATTACGACTGTGGCCAAACCGCACACTGTTATGAACTACCGCGTCTGTTCGCGATATTTTTTCGTTAACTGCCAAACATATATATAGTTTTCGTTTTCCCTCCAAATTAGACAGAAGAAAGAATATACAGAATTCCTTCGTTTTGTTTCTGGTTTTTTCTCAATACACGATCCATGAACACATAGGAATCTCGACAGATTCACGTTCTCGTGCAAAAACGCGAATTAGATAATTGTATCCTCTGAACGGACACTCAGACTACGCACGAGTAAGGGCGAAAATCTGTTTAAGGACACTGCATAGCAGGCCTCTATCTGTTTATCATCCAATGTTGATTCCAAGTAAGTTCTCTTACTTTACTTGATAAGAATCTGTTATATAAACATATATACATATACACGTTTCGTTGATTTTTCTTGATTTTAGTCATTTGTTGCACACTAATTGCACGTAAACATGTACACTAGTTTGTGAAAAAGTCTGGTGCCATAACACTGGTTCTAACAATCTTAATCATAATTTGTGATGGACACTTCATCTATGATAAAGAATCATGTCGAGAAACCGGAAAAATTCAAAGGAACGGATTTTAGACGCTGGCAACGGAAGATGTTGTTTTATTTAACAACTCTTCACGTCTCCAACGTATTGATGGATGACGAGCCCCGAAATCCACCCGTGAGTCTTGGACAAAATGTTCCAACCGCTGCTCAAACGAAACAATTTGAGAAAGCGGTCGAAACTTGGAAGAGCAATGAATATAATTGTAGAAATTATATTCTAAACGCTCTCGATGATTCCCTATATGATATCTACTCAACTTTCAAAACCGCGAGAGAGATATGGGAATCATTAGAGCGTAAGTATAAAACCAAAGTTGCTTGTTCCAAACGATTTGTGGTAGGAAAATTCCTACACTACAAGATGATTGACTCTAAATTAATTGTCAAACAAGTCGAGGAACTCCAAGTCATCACTCACGAGTTGGAAGTGGAAGGTATGGGCATCAACTCTAACTTTATGGTAGGGTTTATAATTAAGAAGTTACCTCCGTCATGGAAGAACTTCAAATTATACCTGAAACATTTAACTGATGATATGAGCTTTGAACAACTTGTCCTCAAACTCCGAGTTGAGGAGGATAACAGGTTGTCTGAAAAAGCCGATGCTAGTTGCCTTGAGCCAAATGAAAATATGGTGGCTCTAAGCACCTCTAAGGGGAAGTTTCAAAAATTTAAGGGCAAAGGCATTGCCCCTAAACCATCGTTTAAAAACTCTCTTGCCCCACAGAAAAAGAACTTCAAAAGGCACATCCTAAGTTGTTGAGTGTGTATTAAGCTTGGTCATAGGGCAAAAGATTGTAGACACAAGAGAGATCACGGTGGTGGTGGAAATGGTGGCGGAGGTGCTGGACCGTCTCACCAAGCCAACATGGCTAATTCTGAAACGCAATTCATCGGCATGGTGGAAGCAAACTTGGTGACTAACACTATGGATCGGTGGTTTGATACCAGAGCCACTAAACACATTTGCAACACCAAAGGCTCATTTGCTACATACCAAAAAGTTAGTGATGAAGAACTGATGTCTATCGGGAATACGGCGACGGCGAAGGTAGAAGGCAAAGGGAAAATGATTCTGAAACTCACTTCCAGGAAAGACCTCGTTCTTACAAACGTGCTACATGTACCTGATATTAGGAAGAATTTAATTTCTGGTCCTATGTTAAGTAATAAGGGATTCAAGATTGTGTTTGAATCCAATAAGTTTGTAATTACTAAAGGGGGTCTCTACGTACATGATTGAGTCATCTACCTTATGGCATTCTCAACTTGGGCATGTCAATTTTCGTTGTTTACGAAGAATGACAAAACTTGGCATGTTCTTTCTTTTTATTAACCTAGATATCCAACCAGCAATGCGAGCCGACTAATCCCAGGGCGACCACCTGCTTTGTGAATAGCCCGGACCCACCGCATTTGAACCTCCGTGGCCACAAGAGGATTTTTATTTCTCCTTGGATTTGAACATGAGACCTCTAGGTACTCTTGACCTTTGGAGCTTAAACTCAAACCAATCAGGCACCACCCTTGTGGGTAAAAAAAACATGGCATGTTACCATGTTGTTTAATGAGCAACAAGACTAAGTGTGAAATATGCATAGAATCCAGGTTCACTAGTCATCCACATAAATCTGTTGAGAAAAATAATGAAGTACTTGGTCTAATACATAGTGACTTGTGCGACTACAAAGCAACTCCTACACGTGGAGGGAAAAACTATTACATATCTTTGATTGATGATTGCAGTAAGTTTTGCTATGTGTATTTAATCAATACAAAAGATGAGGATTTGAATATGTTTAAAACATACAAAGCTGAAGTTGAGAATCAACTCGACAAACGGATCAAAATCTTAAGATCCAATAGAGAAGGAGAGTATGAGTCAAATGACTTTGTTCAATTTTGCTCCTCTCATGGTATTGTGCATCAAATGACGGCCCCTTATACTCCTCAACAAAATGGAGTATCCGAAAGGAAAAATCTAAAGTTGAAGAACATGATCAATTTAATGTTGATAACCTCGGGGGCACCACATAGCTTATGGGGTGAGGCATGCCTTACTGCAAACATGATATTAAATAGGATCCCTCACAAAAAGAGTAATAGATGTCCATATGAATTATGGAAAGGGAGGTTACCCACCTTCAAAAGAACAAAAGTGTGGGGTTGCTTGGCCAAGGTTCAAGTCCCTTTGCCTAAACAGACAAAACTTGGACCCAAAACCATAGATTGTATATATCTTAGTCCCGCCAAGAATAGTGCAGCCTATAGGTTCTTTGTACACAAGTCTTATGTTGATGATGTCAACGTCAATACCATCATAGAATCTGCAGAAGCAAAATTCTTTGAAGATATATTTCCTTATAAGGATAAAAAGGGCCAATCCTCTAATCCAAGGAAAAGAGCTTGTGAGGAAACAAGTCATGATGCTTTAGACCAAAGTGATCAAAACATTCATGATGGAACTTTTAAGGCTGAACAAGAGTTAGAACCTAGAAGAAGTAAAAGAGGAAGGATCGCCAAAGACCTTGGTCCCGATTTTATGACCTTCAATGTGGAAGGTGAACCTCAATCCTACAAGGCCACCATGGAGTCATCGGAGGCACCTTATTGGGAAGAAGCGATAAATAGTGAGATAGATTCAATCATACAAAATAATACTTGGAAATTGGTTGATCTACCTCCGGGACACAAATGGATGGGCCATAAATGGAACTTTAAAATAAAAGTTAGACCCGATGATACCATAGAAAAGTACAAGGCTAGACTAGTAGCTAAGAGGTATCGTCAAAAGAAGGGTCAAGACTTCTTTGACACCTATTCGTCGGTTACAAGAATCACGTACATAAGGACTTTAATAGCAATAACATCAATTCACAATTTAGAAATTCACCAAATGGATGTGAAAACTGCTTTCTTAAATGGCGAATTAGATGAAGAGATCTATATGCAACAACTTGAAGAAATTGTTGTTAAAGGCCAAGAACATAAGGTATGCAAATTGGTGAAGTTCCTCTATGGACTTAAGCGGACTTCACCAAGCACCAAAGCAATGGCATGAAAAGTTTGACAACACCTTGTTATCAAACGGCTTCCAAATCAATGAATGGGATAAATGTGTATATGTTAAACAATGCAAAAATGCTTATATTATTATATGTTTATATGTCGATGTTGATCCTCTCTCTCAAGTGATTTGATGATAATCCCTTTTACTTATGCGTTGTATTTATGTTTCTATATTTTTAGTTCCAGCGATCTTCACTAAGTATGTTCAGTGATCGCTGAAGACCTTACACTGTAAATCTGTCAGAGACAACAATATTTCAAGAAGACAATACTCACACCAAAGAACCTTCAACAAACATCGAAGACTGAAACTGAAGATTAGAGACCGGCGAGTACGTGATCTGAAGCGGTACTCAATGATTACAAGCATGTCTACATATGTGTGAAGACTGCTCAAGCTTCAACAAATGATGATGAGACCTTCAGGTCATTCTAGCATTCAGCGATCAAAGGGAGCTTGCTTAGCACGATCGTTGTTGTCTTGTCCTTATGCACGCAAAGGACAAAACCCATACCCTTATGAAAGTTAGTACGGTACGGAGCCGACTAGTCGACTCTTTGTCCACCAACTTTAAGTAAGGATGTCTGCTCATGAATAGTGCTTTTTGTACTATTCACTATAGCAAAGGACAAACCTTCCTCTTAAGGCTTGACACGTACTCTAACACTACCATATTGCATTAAATGTTCATTTAATGCACTGGGTATAAATAGAAGTGTTTCTTATCAATGCAGAGTGCGCGCAACTCACTCTCTAACCCTAATTCTTACTTCAAGCATTTTCTAGCTTAAGTAAAGGATCTTCTTTACATCAATTTCTTTTCTTGTATTTGCTAAGACTTTGTGTGTAACCAAATATTATTTAGATAGGTTTTTATTACCTTATCTGTCCGCAAACAATCTTGTAAAATCTGTATTGATCTTTTCTATCAATATATATTTTAAATTTGAAAATACTATGTTTGTATTCATCCCCCCTTCTACAAACTGTTTCTCTTCTTGTAGACCCTCACGGGACCAACAAGTGGTATCAGAGCAGTGTTTTCTTTCTTTCCTTGTGTTTAGCTATTTTCTGTATTAGTTTATCTCCTTTCTTAGATAACTTTACCACTTATAAATGGCTTTACAAATTGCAAACACACACCCAAGATAATGGCTCTCTTGCCAAACCTCCCCGATTTGTCCTTGATAACTTTAATGTCTGGAAGAATCGGATGTCCCTCTTTCTGGAAGGTGTGGATCCTGAAATTCCACATTACATAGAAAATGGACCATATATTTCATTTGCTATTGCTCCGGCTGTACCAGCAACAGCTACGACTGCCGCAATTCCTGAATGACAGATTCCAAAGCTCCCACATCAGTGGAGCGATGAGGACAAGAAGAAGATAGTTATAGACACGCGTGCTCGGTCTATAATAGCTATGTCTCTTCCTGATGAGATTTATCACTCAGTGATGAAACTCAAAACCTCTAAATCCATGTGGGATACACTATGTGTCCAATATGAAGGAACCACTCAGGTTCAGGAGACTAGAAAGATCAATCTAGTAAGACAGTATGAAAGATTTCTCTGTGGAAAGTCTGAGACGCTATCTGAAGTACATCAGAGATTTAACTGCCTTCTTATTGATCTTAGGGCTGTCGGCAGGGAATATTCTAATTCTAAAACTTTAACTAAGTTTCTAGAATGCCTTCCTGAGTCTTAGGACACCTTTTCCATATGTCTCAAAATGTCAAATGACATGTCCACTCTTTCTCTTTCTACTTTATACGGGATTCTTCTTAACCATGAATAATCTCGTCAACTGAAAAGAAATATTGTAAAAGAATCCAGGGAAATGAAAAGCTCTCCCTTAGCTTTGATCTTTGAAGCTTCTTCAGTTGAAACTTCTTCTATCCCTTTTGTTTCTTCTCTTCCTACCGTGGTCATCACGGAGATAGATTCTTCCGAGGATATTCCAGAATCTAATTTAACAGATTTTGATGAGTCCCTGGAACTCATGACTAAGTCATTTAGGAGATTCGCCAGTAAGAGCAACTTCCGCAGATCTCCTCAGCTATCCCTCAGGGAGAAGCCAAAGTCTGAAAGAATAGACAAGACTTCAACTGTCTGCTACAACTATCACCGGCCCGGACATTTTACAGGTGAATGCAGATCAAAGAAAATTGCGACGCCATCTTCTAAAGCTCCTTCTTCCTTCAGGACCAAAGATGAAAAGTACTTAAAACTGAAGGAGAAGTATAAGAAGATGAAGAACAACTAGCGAAAGGCTAAAGGCCTTATTGCTGAAGAGCATGACTGGCTGAATCATTCGATGAATCATCTTCAGATGAAGAGGATAAAGCCTACGTCTGCTTGATGGCCATAGATGCTGATGAAGGATCTTCTGAAGCATCTACCTCCTCTGAGCCATCTTCTTCCTCTACTCAGGTAGGTTTCCTGAATGAACCCTCTTCTTCTTCTAGTCTTTTTACACTAGATACGCTGACGATTGACCTTTACAATGCCCTCAATGGCAAATTGAAAGCTGAAATGCTTAACGTTGATCTTCAAGATCATTTGAAGATTTGCCATTTTAAGATCAAAGAACTGACCTCTGTTGAGGGAAATCTTAAAGATCAGGTTATTGTAAACCAGGCCATCACTGTTGAACGTGAGAAGGCTATCGCTGAGCATGAGCGAGCAATCGCTGAACTCAAGGCTGAGAAAGCTACCATTGAAGGGTGGTGCAAAGCTTCCATCAAGGCCTCTGAGATCATTAACGCTCAGATCCCCGCCAAGATAAAGACTGGTCTAGGATTCTCCTATGATCAGGAAGAATTTGTTAAAGACAGGACCATGCTCAAGTTTGGTACCTTCGTCTTTTCTATTCCCAACACTTCTTCCTCTCAGTCCTCTTCTTTTACTGAGAGTCATCTTAAAGGAACTCCTTCGAGTTCTGGGTGCAAAGATAAAGGGAAATTCATTGTCAAAACATCCGTTCCCAAGAAGTCTAACAAGTCTAATAGATCTAGGTCTATTCCTTCAACTTGTAAAGCTTCTTCTTCTTCGAGGACTAAGAAATCTGAATCGCATCCGAAATCTAAGTCACAGCTCAAGGTGAACTTTTCACCTAAGGAATCCAATTCCTCAAAGGTTCCTCTTAGAACCAATGAGAAGTGAATTCTTGG